CGATTGCCTCCAACCAAGTAACATCTTCTAATCTGCACTGTGATGCTAAGCTTCCTAGCTTGGTTGCCATATTACAAATATGATCGATAGAATTCAGTCTACACTCAGGATTAGATAACATGAAATTGGTTGCACTTCCTTGACCAATCAATACAAAGGGTTCACTTACTTTTCAGTGTATGTAATAACATCAGCGATTGAAATAAGCGATTATTGGTAAATTTCTAATTATCCATCCTTTTGTGGCCTGTCTCACAAGCGTCTGTATGGCTTCTATGTCAACAGCCAAATCAAGATTTTTCCCATTGGTTTGAATATTTGAACCCAACTTCATCTACAAAGGTTTAGACAATCAGCTAGTGTCACCAGGCGTCATGAATTTAGCTGTGTAGCTTATTACACCATGCTCATAGTTGTTAAATTGCATAAAATATGAAGCGGTAAGATGGTTTTCATCCAGATCAACCTAGGACCAGGCATTATTGCGTAACGGTCCAACTTCCCGCCACACCTGATATCACTACATCAAGTAAAAAGGCAGTGAGGTGAAAGATGAAGATATGAAAATTCAGTCAAAAGAAGTATCAAGTACGAAAAGAGAGAAACGAAGAGTGAGAAAGTGGTGAGATTCGTTATAGCGTCGTTAAGATGAGGATAATGTGTGTGGCGATACATCTGCCCCCAGTTGACATACGTTGAAGCCATGTTTTAATCTAACCACTTCGGATCCTTTTCCAGTCTGTGAACCTACCTCAGCCAACATTGTGTGATGAGGCAGTCGGTGACTTGGCATACGTAACACATGTCCCAGCCAACCATCTCACTCGATGAAGTTTCACAACCTCGTCAACCGACTTACCTTTTCTCCCTTACTTTTGTCTTACTCACGTGGTGTGGTGACACCAAGGAATGCAGCCCATACTATGAAGGCAACGGTAGTCAAATACTTGAAGCCTCGTCATGTCTTCCACCTTCAATGAACATGTTTCACAGCAATACACTTGAACAGACTGGACTATACTCTCTATTGTTAGTCGTGGTGGGGCACCGTTGAGGATCAATCCTGGAGCAACAATTCACATTTGGGTGGTGAGAAACGCATCCAAAACACTCTTCAATTTCCATCCAATGAGTCCACAAGACTCTACATCTTGTCAGCGTCTTCACTTAACACGACTATGTCATCTGCATATTCTACGTCTAACGAAAATCCTCCTGTGATTAGGTCAACGTCTGTGCAATTAGGTGACGAGAGGGAAACCTTCATACGAATATGTATGATAAAATTGAATAGAAATGAAGACACTAGGCAGCGGTTGATGGACACCACTCGGTGAGTACAGCTCACCTGACATTTCATCATAGTTCTGATGATATATATCTTCTTAGCATTGCTGATATTCGATGGAATTATCGTCTAAGCAGATGTAAGGTACTAACCAAGGAAGAGGAGTTGAATGATGAGTTCACTGAGATCGCTTAGATATGTACTTGTCATACTGATCCACCGTCTACCTTGACATGCTATGCTTGTAAAAAATTGGATCCGATTGAAAGAGAGTTCAGGGAAGATGTAGACTTTCGGTTGAAGTCACTGAGACAAAAGAAATCAATACTTGAAGGTTATTTATGACATGATGGTTGAAAATTAGTACTCACCGTCATCTTGAGATTGTATCTATCCTCTTAAACATCTTTTTAGCCTACTTTCCTATCATTTCTTATCGATTCATGTGTTATTTGTGTACTATTTTGAAGTAATAGCAACATGATTCGATTCACTTGTATGTTGATTTTTGTTTGTGATTCTCACATTGTGTATTTTCTTCTTTTTATGTAGAATGATTATCCTGTATAGAATAAGTGTAGCTTGTTGCCAATTAAGTGAACATGCACACTTCACTAGTGAACTAAACTACTTCAGCTGGTTTAACAATAGCCATTCTCTCTCTCCCTCCCTCCCTCCCTCTCTCCCCCCCCTCTCTCTCTCTCTTTTCCAAACCACAAATCATACAGAGTATACAATTCCCGTTCAAATGACCGTTTTTTATGTATATTTATTAATCACTGAAGAAGGATGTAACCAACTTCATGTTATCTAGTAGTAGTTCTAAGAGTGTTGATCAATTTCTATCGATTTTTTTTGGAATGCGTGATTAGCAAGCTAGGAGATCGATCATCATGATGTATCTCTACATCATCTAATCTTACAAAGAGGTCCGTGTTGACCCCAAAAACCTTAATGACAATATTTTCAATTGAATAATATAGCTTAGAATCTCTAGGAGAACATCAGTTCCATAGAGGTTGATTGTAGAGATATGCTTTATTGATGAGTACTAAAAAGTGTGATGAATCTAGGATCAAGAACTTCTTGTCAATTGCATTCATCCAATTAATTAACATCGATTTCATTCTTTATCAATATAAGAATCTGGCTATATTACTGTGTCAACAGTCCAATAATGAAGAACTACAGAAAAAGGAATGGTCTAAAGCAGTAGAAAAGAGTAAAAGAGAAAGGAAGGAGGAATAAGACAAATCATGAATTCAGTATATAGATACATTTGTGCTAAGATTGTGCAACTAGGTAGACGGTGAAAAAGTGTTCATAACACATATTCTCAAACCGTATCTGAGTTACTGAAGTTTCATAACTTCAACTCTTACTCTTTTTCTATCAACTTGTCCTACAGCGTTTATGTCCAGCGTTTTACGTTGAATTCTCCTTGACTGTCTGTATGTATGCAGGAAGGCGGGTAGTGGTCAAACATCTAAAGTGTCTTCTCGTATTTTTTTACCTTTGGAATCGAAATGAACTCATCAGCCTTGTGTATACTCCTATGTAGATTAATAATCGATACCTTGGTAGGTGTAATGGGGTTCGAACCAGTGACCCATTAGTTAAAAGTTATTCAATAAGCCATAACTTCACCTTTATAATAACCACTTCTACATATCTATATGTTTGTTATAACTAGTAGTGATGGTATGCATAGTCTGAGTTACATTCTCTCATCATTTCCATTTAAACAATTAACTGTGAAATAATAATCACCCTTTATATGTGTAATTAATTGGTAGTAATAGTAAGGCTTTAGTGAAATTATAATATGATTCAGTCAGTCAATCATTAGTATTGATACTTGACATTTGAGTTGCTACAAGATTCGAATCATTTGCCATCAGGTTCCCCCATTGGTCGAGTACCTCTACTCCAAGTGACCTATGAGATATTTATTCCACCTTGAATCATTAGCCAGTATCAATAATACAATTCTAGCAAACCACAGTCTAGAATATACTTAACCTAATCACTTGGAGTCTTTTCTACAACTACTTCTAATATTCCTGTTATTGTACATGCATATAAACTCATCAATGTGATAGAAAATGAGCATCAGTAGAGTATTTGATCACTTTAGAACGATATCAGATACGGGGTGATATCAGCTTGACTGCAAGGAAATTGACTTTCAGTGTTCTTATCACACTTGCTACTTTCATCTTCATTGAATACAAGATGAATAGAAACTGTTTTATTCCCCACAATTGGGTGCTTAGTTTTCCCCATTCGTTGTTTTCATGAATTATGATAAGCCTATTGAAGTAGCGTGTCACGAAAAGCACTTCCAACAAACTACAGATATACATCAGCAACTGCCGCCTACGCTCACCCGATACAGATACTAAAGAACAGATGGTCAGAATAATAAGCAGCAAGGAACTCTGGGAACGAACCAATGAAGCAAGAACCTATCGCCCAAAAAATATGCAGTTGAAGAAACTGGAGATGGATTGGGCATACACTACAAAGGTAGACTGGGGACATCACGCGCTAGACCAAGTCGTCGAGTGGAATTCAAAGGAGGAACGATGAGTTGGGCGTCGGAGGCAAGGCTGAGGTGGAGGAGATCATATGTGGAAGAAATGAAAGCTTGTGGGTAGTCGTAGCGCCAGGTTGAAAAGATTGCAGAGAAGAGAGTGGAATGGAGGCGTGCTGGTGAATCCCTATTTTCCACTGGGAACCCAAGGGAAAAATAATAATAATATTGAAGTAGCTAGTATCACTGGAAACATTTTCACTCTTATTTAGGTCTGCTCTCAGCTTGTAATATTAATATCCTTATCCTAGTGACTGATAATATTTTCAACATTATTGTTATTTGTCCCTTGGGTTCCTAATGAAACATAGGGCTTCAGTAGCACGTCTCTATTCCACTCTGTTATCTGCAATCTTTTGAACCTGGCTCCACTGCTGCCTTCAAGCTCTCATTTCTTCCTCACATGATCTCCTCCATGTCATCCTCACCTGAAACACCCAACTCTTCGTTTCCCATCTGGGTTCCATTCGAGCAACTGGCATGGCGCATGATGCCCCCAAATGGTCTTCTCAGTGCACACCCAATACACCTCCACTTCGTTTTACATATTTGTTCGGTGGTAGGTTTTTGGTTGGTACGTTGGTAGGCCAGCGTCCCTTGCTGCTTATTCTTTCTGGTCATCTGAAGTTCAGTAACGAGCTAGCGTAGGCAGTTGTTGATGAATGTCTGTAGTTTGTTGGAAATCCCTTTCGTAACGCGTGAAGTCTCTGAGGCATGCAGAAACACTGACTTGACTGACATAAGTGTTGAAAATCCGGTTGTTGTTCACGCAGTGCTGATTGCGGAAGATCTGTACACTGTTTTCAGGTTGATGAAGGCCTGTCTTGCTGTGTTTCTGATCCTGGCTTTGACATTCTCGTCTATGCCGTCACCGACTGTAGTTGAAACGTGCTGGCTGTCTGCGTGGTAGGTGAAAGATGTTACTTCATTCAAGTTTCCTTCGTTCATGGTGATTGGAGCTTGTTGGTGGTGGTGGTGGTGGGGGGGCATTGGTTGCCAATATTACTCTTTACATCATGAAATTTATGTTATTTTGATGTATTATATATGTATATATATAGCCTGTGTATGTTATATTACTTCTAATTTACATTGTATTTTATCTATACAATTTAGTCGATTGTTCTAACAAGTACAGAACTGCAACATCAACGTCATTTATTGATAGCCTCATGTATTAACTATACAGCTCAATTGTTATGTGATGAAACATCAAGTGAATCGTGTACACTCTATCCATCATCTTTATCTCCACAAAGTCTACATATTGTAAAGGATAATAATAATGATAACAATGATAATAATGTATCAGTGAATTTTTCACGATTCATTGAATTACTTGCCAGTATCACGGATACAAATGTACATGGATATGATCTACTACCTTTATTGTTAGGTACAACTGAATCTTCATCTATAGCGATTTCAAATCTCTTACATTCTCCTACATCATCATCATTATCATTATCAGATGGTAACAGTGGAAAAAATGTTTTCGATCCTGGTAACATTGATAATATAGCTGGTTTACCTATTCATTTATTATTACCACCAAATCAATCGATTGATTTAACTCTAGTTCTAGTTGTATGTATGGTAAATGCTATCAATTCAGAGAATAATACTACAACCTCAATAACATCTGTTCAGATTGCAATTAAATCATTTTTATCACAATGGTTCACTGAACACTTTCATGATAAAATAACAGCGGTAAGTAATCATATATTTATATATTACTGTTTATTTATTTATTTATTTATTATTCTCAAAGACTCGATTGGCTTTTGCCAATTTGTGCCACCTATGGCGCCGCCGTGATATTCATTTGTCTATTAAGGGTCGCGTGTACTGCACAACAGTCCGGTCTGTTCTACTGTATGGCTGTGAGACATGGCCACTGAAAGTGGAAGATATAAAAAGGCTTCAGGTGTTTGATCACCATTGCCTTCGTAATATAGGACGTATTCTGTGGTGTCACCACATGAGTAATGCAGAAGTTAGGTGTAGAGTTTTGGGGAGAAGAGGTAAGTCAGTTGACGAGGTTATGAACCTTCATCGACTGAGATGGTTGGGACACGTACCACGTATGCTTAGTCACCGATTGCCTCGTCACACAATGTTGGCTGGGGTAGGTCCAGGCTGGAAAAAGGCCCGAGGTGGCCAGACTAAAACATGGCACCAATGTATGAAGTCTCTGACTGTTGGTTTAAGCCATGTAGGACGATGCAGACTAGGTGGTTGGGGTCTGTTCCCGGGACAAGAGGAACCAGTGGTTGGAGACCCTAGGTGACCATGTGGCTTAGAACCGAAGTCAGTTGGGGGCAAATGTACACACACGTTATCCTCATCTTAACTACACTATACCGAATCTCACTATTTTGTCACTCCTCTTTCTTTTCTTTTCGTACTTTATATTTCTTTTGACTGCATTCACTTATCTTCATCCTTCACCTCACTATCTTTTTACTTGATGTACTGATATGAGGTGTGGTGGTGGGAAGTCGGACCGTTACGCAGTAGTAATGCCTGGTCCTATGTTGATAATGATGATGACTTATTATTCTCCGTTGTTTTGTTCTATTGGATCGAATTGTTCGACCTCTATTAGCATATGAGCTCCTATGTGGATGCCTCGATATTGTCTGAATGTTAATTATGATAATTTGATTGGTTGTGGCTAGTAGAAGAATCCAGGATCCACGTTTTGTTCTCTTTAGGACTTGTCAGCTGGATGTACCTGCACATCATTGAGTGATTTTGTTCCCAGTGAGACTCGAAACTCATACCTATCACTTGAAATGCCAAGGCTGTTATCCAGTATGCTACAGAGGAACGATAACCACTTCTGCTAGACACAACCAACCAAATTATCATAATTAACATTCAGGCAATATCGTGGCATCTGCATACCAGCCCATATGCCAATAGAGGTCGAACAATTCGATTCAACACAACGGAGAATAACAAGCATATCAACATATAACTACTATCCGTTGTACAAGAAATGGCTACTATTCCTCCATGGCATAGTGGATAACGCTTTGGTATTTAAAGTGGTAGGTATGAGTTTCGAGTGTCTGAGAACAACATCACTGGGGTGCAGATACATTCTGCTGATCAGTCTAAAATGGGACGAAACGCGAGTCCTGGATTCTTCTACCAGCCACAACCAACCAAATTATCATATATTTATATAGTTTGAATGTTTACTATACTTTACAATTAAATTTATTTAGAATATATTCACAAATGAGAATAAAAATTCTTCTTTCCCTGTCCTACGGTTTAACACATATGAATTGATAGATACAGTTGAATGGCAGCAAATGTATGTGAGCAACTTTTCCACTGTGATTGTTATCTCAATAACCCATTGAACAAGAATCTGTCAAATATTGTCAACACAAATATTAAGTATGAATAAAACCTCATCGATGATCCTGGTAGGATAGAAAAGAAAAGGATTTCACAGAAATACAATTGAAAAGAAACCTGTTTTTCTATTTTTTTTCGCCTTCATAGAGGATAGAATTGTTATAAGTAACCATTACGGAATGACTAGTGTATAATGCAGGAGAACTATCCAGACGCCAAGTTTTTTTCTCTCTGTGGTGTTTGTACAACCCGAGGATACGTTTATTTAGAAATTTTTGTCCATATATATATATATATATATATATATATATATATATATATATATATATATATACTTTTAGCCTGTGGGGTGAAAATCTGGGAAACTTCCATTCAATAATAATAATAATAATAATAATAATAATAATAATAATAATAATAATAATACTATCAATAGTAATTTCATTGTGAAACCGATTTCGGGAATACTCTACAGAATTTTCAGCATACTATATAGCATCAGTTGGATAGAGACAATGTACATAGCAGAATGAATATAAGTAGAAATGATACACATAAGAGATAAGAACAGTCACACTCTATCTGTGACCTTGTTGAAAATGTAAAGTTAACTTGGATAGACATTCACATAAGCAATTAGATTCATAATACGTGAATAGTAACATGCTCATCATCATCATCAACATCATTAATTAGCTACCTTCTAATACTTTCTTCAGCACACACAGCAGATGAACTAAATACCTACAGTATTGTAAAGTGTATATACTTAGTAACAGTATGTGTACTTGCTCCTTAGCTTTCCTGATGACCAGTTCATGGAGAGAGAGTGAGCTTTGAGTGAAGAGGATACTGGTCATCTGATGAAATAACTCCAGCCAGATGTTAATATGAGTTAAGATGTTTGTTCACAACTGTTATAACTAGAAGGTTTAGTGGTACACCATCACTAGTTCTACTGACAATCTTCAAACTTCTACGCATAGTCTCTTTTCAACAACCCACGGAAGAATAAAGGGGGACAAAAGAGGAGAAAAGGCAAGATACAGAAGTTTATAAAACACAAGAGGAGAAGCTGAGTTACACTAGATACTCTCAGCTTCTCAACACAGAAAGGTAGGTGGAAAACTCTTTTGAAAACGAATAAGATATGGGAGAACCAGGAAGGATCCTAATAAAAACATACCGAGAATCATGAGAACTAAACAGTTCACATAAGTTATGTTCATGTCTGAAACTCAAGTTTATAGTTTGACATTTTGAAGAATTAAGCGTGAGATCATTCACGAAGGACCACCGTGTAACATAGTAGACAGGAAATCATTCAATTGGGAAGAATCTACTGAAGAGGAGATAGGTCAGGTATGGAAATTGTCAGGTCATCAGCATATTCAATGAAATTCGTACCAGTTGAAGATGAGTCATGCAGAAAGTATTAGAAAAGACATGCGGAAAGGATAGCTCTTTGAGGAAATGGGAATGCAGTTGGTTGATTATCCTGTAGTCTGTATTTGTCCCGGTTAACCTTTCCAGCAAAAGTGGTCTTGGAACAGTCTAAAAAGGCACATCTGATATACTTGACATTTTTATGAAGATTATAAGTAATGTGGTGATATAAGGAGAGATTGGTGGAATCCAAAGAGCTTGTTCTGCTTTCATATACCATGTGATTAGGGCTATTGAAGGCCTTCCGTTAGGGCTTGAGCACACATATTATTATCTTCTGCATTATTTTCATGAAAGGAGAGAGAGGTAACATTCCAATCAGACTGAATTTCAGATATATACACTGAATCCTTGACTTGAATATTCAGTTAACTAAGCAGGATATTCAATTTCGCTTACTGGATATATTTTATTATGGCTTAAAAATATTCTTATTGTTTATACTTTTTTTGTAGGATCCTTTCGCTTATGCTGTTGTCGATTATTTACGTGCAAAGTATTCATCATATATTGCTCCGGATACAGCTTGCCTTCCACGTAGTAAACAAGTTCTACCTGTTGAACTTCGTAAACCGTCTCTTAGTCTATTGACGCATATTATTCAATCAGCGCAAGCAGCTCTGAGGTATGAGATTTTTTTACTATCTTTTAAGCTAATTCACTTTCCTATGCTTCAGTTTATATGTCTGTTTGTTTTGTTGTTGTTGTTGTTGTTATATCTTCGGGTCAGATCCAGCCTTTAAAACGATCACCTTGTACAGTTGAGTCATGTTTTCCATCGATCTCCTACATCAAGTCTCATACGAAGTTCTTTAATTCGACTACTGATGTTGCAGGTTACTTCTGTTTTAGTTAAATTTTCAAGCGGCGTACAGTTTACTTTGTGCTATTTTCAAGGTGAGGGGGGGGATCATGCACTTTGTTGAGATCATCTCATCCTCTCTCTGAGTCGTAAAGATCCTATCATTGAATAGTTCTAGGTGTTGAGATGCGTATTACAAAGTTTAGAAATACACTTCTTCACATCAGTCAACATTTCTATCAAGCTATAATTTCTGTAACTGTCAGTGAGCAACAGATAAACGACCTGACATCAGCATAGAACTTTATACTGTAGTAGTAGTAGTAGTAGTAGTAGTGACACAAACGAATTTGACAATACAAAAAAATAATGAAGGGAGGATGTGATAAGAGTTGAAAACAACGAAAAACAGTCTTTGAGCTCACAAGGGGAGCTTAAATTCATGTCTGGACAGCGCTTCAAGGGTCGCGTATACTGCACAGCAGTCCGGTCTCTACTACTGTATGGCTGTGAAACATGGTCATTGAAAGTGGAAGACATGAGAAGGCTGGCTTCAGGTGTTTGATCACCGTTGCCTTCATAGTATATGCCGTATTCCGTGGTGAATAACGTGAGTAACACATACGTGAGGTGTAGAGTTTTAGGGAGTAGAGGTAAATCAGTTGATGAGGTTATGAACTTTCATCGACTGGGATGGTTGGCTGGGACATGTGTTACGTATGCCTAGTCACCGACTGCCTCGTGACACAATGTTGACCAAAGCAGATTCCGGCTGGAGAAGGGCTTGAGGTGGCAAGACTAAAACACGGTATCAGTGCGTAAAATCTTTGACTGTTGGTTTGAGTCATGTGGGGCGATGCATACTTGGTGGTTGGGGTCAGTCCATGGGACAAGAGGAACGAGTGAGTGGTTGGAGACTGTAGGTGAAATGGCTGAGAACTGATGTCAGCTGGTGGCAGATGTATCGCCACACACATTATCCTCATTTTAACGACGGAATACCGAATCTCAGCATTTTCTTATTTTTCGTTTCTCTTTTTTCGTTCTTTATAATTCTTTTGAGTGAATTTTCTTATCTTCATCTTGCGCCTTACTGCCTTTTTACTTGATGTAGTGATATGAGGTGTGGGAACTCGGAGTGTTACACAGTAATTCGTGGTCCTATGTTGATTTGGATGGTTGGATGGAACTTCAATAGATATTCATTTACCATTCATTCAGTTTTTTTGTGCAGATACACTGAATCCTTCCGCGTTGGCACATTACCGAATCTTGCTTCTAGTGAGTTGGCAAAAAGCTATGGAAACTAAAACGCTGACCTATCCACATAGGATTCCTGTATATTGACCATTTTATTGGATTGTTATTCTTATAAATTTGTAGTATATATGCAGGAACAGTAGACGGTTGTCTTTCTCTTCTACAATATGTTTCTAGCAAACATGTCGCATCTCAACCTGTCATATATATTGTTGAAAGTGTATATATTTTGGGGATGAGTGATGATTTCACTTCTTGAGGTAGTATTCATGACGGTCTGATATCAGTTGGAGATCCGTTGAAAACTTGGCAGCATTAGGCAGCAGCTGTTTCGTCCTAGCACAAGACTCTTCAGAAGTACGCACCTCACTACTTCCCCATAATCAAAGTGCTGATTCTTATCAAAATGATTTACCCGTATGATTCACATTAGTGACAGGCTTCAAGATGGATATCACGAAGCTGTAATAAAAAGTCATGACTTGTGAAGCCTGTCAATCAACCAGTGGATCCCATCTGAAGATGGCGCAATATTGTGAATTGAAAGACTTTGGAAACTGTAAACCGCTAAACTGCTACCCAATGGCCTAATGGTTAACGTTTTCGCCGTGAAATTTGAAGGTCCTGAGTTCGACGCCTGACCAGGTCATGGATGCGTACTACCCAGGAGTCCGATACGAAACAGCTGCTATCATTTCATGATGAGTATATATATTTGTCACTGATGAACAGTAAATCATCCAATACCGAAGAATTAGCTTCACTTTTTTTTTAGCTTTTTCTAAGCCAAGATGCCACATCTATTTATTTCAAGTTGTTATTCATCGTAGACTGATATCAGTCGGAGGAGCAAAGTAAACCTGGGAGCACTGGACAGCTGTTTCTTCCGACTAGTATGGGACTTCTCAGCAGTGGGCACCCACTACCTAACTCTCCAGGGATCGAACTCGCGACCATAAGGTTACGCGGCCAGCGCGTTACCATTGAGCCAGCAGAAGTTGGAAATATGGACCACTGGATTCTGTCCCAGTGGCTGAATGGTAACGCGCCGGCCGCGGAACCTGAAAGTCGCGGGTTCGATCCCTTGCGGGGTCGTCGATGCGCACTGCTGAGGAATCTCATATCAGGACGAAACAGGTGTCCAGTGCTTCCAGGTTTCCTTTGTTCCTCCAACTGATGTCAGTCTACAATGAATAACAACTTGAAATATTTCCAAATCTCCACAACTTCCTCAACATCTATTTATTGATATAAACGTATGTTTATCGTTGGGGTTAACTTATACACTTGACCTCTTGTTATTAGTGAAATGAATATTTCTCCCCTCCCCTAGGTGTGTGTGTGTACATGACAATCAATTCACTTGAATACATTTGTTTTTCACTAATGAATTGTAGGCTGTTTGAATTCCTTTCTTCTTCGGTCGACATTGTTACATCATTCGGTTTGTATGTGTTTGTGACCCGAGCGATTTGTTTTTAAAGCAATACTTATTTCTCTCTCTGGTCGATAAATCTTTAGGGGACCGCATATTTTGCTGAATGCGACACCTTTTTGATGCATTCACTACACTATGCTAATGATTATGGATAATGTATTTTTGAGATGAATGGGGATTTTTCAATTTAGAAGTAGTATTCATCATGGACTGACATCAGTTGGGGAACCATTGAAAATCTGGGAGCACTGGACAGCTGTTTCGTGCGACTGGTATGGAACTCCTCAGCAGTCCATGATGACGACTTCTAAATTAGAAATCCCCATTCATCTCAAAAATACATTACTGTATAGTGCTCATTAGTAACTTGCTTCTAGATGGATATCACGAAGCTCTAATGAGAAGGTGTGACCTGTGGAGTCAACCAGTCGGAAGTGAAGTGGATGCTAACTGAAGACCTTGGGTGACAGTCGCGCTATGTCGTGAATTGACAGAAGTTGTAAATTGTGAACCACTGAAAACCGACCCAGTAGCTGGATGGTTAACGCGTTCCCCGTGAAACCTGAAGATCCTGAGTTTGGTCCCTAGCCGGGTCGTGGGCGCGCACTTCTGAGGGGTCCCATACTAGGACGAAACAGCTGTCCAGTGCACCCAGGTTTCCAATGGTTCCCCAACTGATGTCAGTTCATGATGAATACTACTTTTAGATTATGGATAAGTTTGCAGCTGGAGGATGTAAGCATATAACTAGATGTGTAGTTGTGTATAGTGGTGTCGTAGAAAAATCCTGAGACAAAAAGAAAAGGATACAACGGGAGTCAGAAATCTAAAACAACAGTGAGAATAAGATGTGTGTTTTGAACCTCTATACGGTAATACGCTTTAAGCTATATCACCTTCAAGCATCGATTTCACATACCGTTGTCGAAATGACATCAAGGGATAGTCTGACTTTGAATTTCTTGCTTAAAAGTGAATTAAAGGCATCAATTGCTATCGATTTATCGACTTAAATACCAGAGCGGTTGGTCCTAGGCTCGAGTCTTAGTGAGGACAACACTCATTGAGTGTGACAATACCATCCAACTGACGATTCTAAAAAAAATAGGACGAAAGACGTATCTTGGATTCCACTGCTGGCAACTACCCATCATCTGGAGATTTTTATCCACTAGCAATCTTCAATCAATAAGTTAGAGGCTACGCACTGGGTGTATCATTGTTTGTCAGGTAAACCTAATAAAAATGACGAGTACTCTGGGTTCAATTAACAGCATAAATAAAAGTACGCTTTGGTGCGATTAATTCAATGCTGACAATTTAATGAGAATCACAATACCGCCCATGGATGTTTTTTGTTTGCTGCATTTACATTCCCATCATGTACCTAACTCACCTATGTTTATCGATCGCCTCCTACTTATTCACCCTAATCTATTATCTGTCTATGGATATCTGCACGATCGATAATTCTCTGCCCACCTAGTCAAATTTCATTCGTTTCTTTCTGTACTAATTCCATTGGCTTAGCTCATGGCTGAAAATAGACAAATAAGCGTTCAGTCCTTTGTTGTCGGCACTTGCATCTTGTATACTGCGTACATAATAGGCGGGCTGATCGACTATTTATGACCTTGGTATGTCTGTTCACGTGATCTGGTCAAGCCTATATAATATCATTTATATGCCAACGTAAATGAAAAAAGTCACCCCTCCGTAGTAAATTGTGATTGGTTGATTGTTTGTTGGGTCGACCATGGTCAGACATCAAGTTCAATTGTTCTTGTCTGTATTGTTGATTATTGCGCCTGTGTGTGTTCACTCACTTCATTTGCTCAGTTATGTAGTCTCAGTGCGGAAGTGGATTATTTATACCTTGTGTGAATTATATACCTCTTGTCTATTTATGCTTACAATTTCGGAATATTTTCACCTATACTATTGGAATTATAAAATTTGGAATATCATAATAAAATCTATGTGAAGGTAAATATTTTTGTATGCAACTATCTACTTGTCGAGTTTGTTGTTTTACAATCAACTAACTCCTCTTGTTCTGCTACTCATCGGCTAGAGGATATAATCGATGGAATGGACGATATTCAATCGACAGGAACATGAACTC